ATTTCCGACCCGGACAATTTTAGGGGTCTACAACTAGCACATCATATGAGCTTCCCAAATCCCATGGATTGAAGACAAAAGTGGACAGTACCAATCACAAGTTTAAGGAATTACTGAGAAACACAATATTGGATTGTTAGAAAACATACATGAGAGATCCCAAAATCCATTTTAAGAAGCCAAAATCCCAAAATTCCAAAACCTAAAAGCATCTGAAGAGTGTGAAGTACAACCAAAATTTTCAAATATGCATAAATATGGAGCAAAACCAGAACTCTCATGGAAAAGTGAGAAATTGAAAGCATTAAACCAAGGTTGTTAAACTCAAATATGTACATTCAAACACATAACACAATTCATAAACTCGTAAAAGTTTACCTAGTACAAAATTACTTCTTAAAATGACAAGGCTTAGATCAGGCTTCTAATAACAACTTCTCTAGTCAAATGACAGACACATGATTTTCTTTTATTAATTCTATAACACATTTAATGGAGGTCAATTTATATTAGAAGAACATCCACATATCATTATTTAATCATTTGATTGTTGAACTTAAAGCTAAGGGAATAAGGATCTTGATGCAAGTTTTATATAACATATACTAGTGCTTTAAATCCCTGATAACAGCCAGCCCCAAAATCACTATACTAGGATAGCCACTATTTTGAAAAAATTTAAATAGTTCATATAACATATACTATACACATACAAATTCTCAAAAATGATAAAATTACACAAAATTCATGACATTCATAATTAACAATAAAAATTCATGTAGTGAAAAAGTTGACAAACCAAGAAGAGAGAGACAAATGTCGTCAAAGATAAGGGAGGCAACAATCTCTAACAAATCTAGTTGCTAGAGAGAATGGAAACTGAAAATCAGTCACCAGAGAAATCAGAGGCAGAGAAACAAGAGAAAAGAGACTAAGAAAGTGAGAAACCGGTTGTTGTAGTACAAGATCGAGAGATAAATGATAGTTGGGTCAAGAGAAAAGGAAAGAAATGGCAACTTTTGATTGATTTTATAAGCAAAATATTTTATAGAAATTAAAATCCCAAATAAAATATAAATCCCAAATAAACCTTAACAATCAAAGGGCTTCATCGAAATCAAGACAGAATGCCTGTTATCCCATCCACTATGGGCACCACTTTATAATGCACTATTTAAAACCATGGTTTTGGATCCATTTGGGTATCAAATAAGTGTTTACCATATAAGAACTTATTATAAGTTATATTTATAATCAAAGAAAAATAAGATTAAACTACAAGTTGTAAGTTTCTGTAACCCATCTTGTAGAGCTTATTCAAATAAGTAAAAAATTGATGGGTTGCTTTGGTATTTGTTTTTGTAGAGATATATTCTTTGAGAGGAGCTTTATATCTTGTTGTTCAACAGAGATTCACACACATCCTCACATTGTTATGATATTGTCTACTTTGAGCTAAAACTTTTATAGATTTACTTTTTTTTTTCATCATCTAGTAAAACCTTGTACCAATGAAGATTGTGTGGTTAAACTTATATTCATCATCTTGATCTAACAATGCAAAAAAAATTTGTATCCCAATAATTCCCTACTCAAGCAAAAGACCTAACTCATAATCTATGTCTTTGTCTTGTATTGGTATTTTTGTTATTGTTTGCTTGAGTTGTGTGGAGATATATTTTTCACTGAACTATCGGCTTTAATATCACTAATGTGTTGTTTTGTATTTATTTTTGTAATGATATGTTTTTCAAGAGGAATATATTGTTGTTGTGCAACGGGGATTCAAGCACATTTCATATTAATATAATATTGTCCACTTTGAGCTTAAACCTTCATGGATTTATTTTTGGTTCATCACTTTATGTGTGTTTATAAACTCATGTTTATCCTCTTATGTTATCAATAAGAGACTTTGTTTGTATCCTAAAGAAAACAAGTTATGAAAACATCTTAAGTTATTTCCATAAACACTTCTAAACACTTACACAAGTACTTAGGTCCAAATAACCCTTAAATAATCTCTTTCAAGCACATCCTTATCCTACTTAAAAAAAAAAAAAATCCCAAATAGTGTCCAAAGTTGAAGGAATAGAAGATTGTTGCTAGAGTAATTATGTAATGGCAAAAACTAAGAATAATCTCACAAACCTAGGCCTCCCACATATGCCACAAACAATAAGCACATGATCAACCCATATAAGCATATAACATTTTCAACAAAAGCAACTACCAGAAAGATAAACAATAAACAAGATTCGTGCCCTAAAGCATTTGAGAAGTGTAGAAAATGAGCTGAAAAGTGAAGACATTAGGGTTGAAGTTGTGGAAAGAAGGAAACGAACCAAGGCTCATTAATAGTGTGTCTCTGACGGTTGATCCTTCCCTCAATGCCTACCTATGTTGGAGATTGCTTCTTTACAAGGTACTTCGGACTTCCAAGAATTTTTTTTTTAAGACCAACTAGGAACATCTAATATGGTCTTTATCAATAGTAAACTTCCATTTATTTGAAATTACTTAAGATTAAAAATCGTTAAATTACATTATTAGTCTTTTAATTATTAATTTTTTATTTATTTTAGAATAGAGATATTTAATCTTTTAGATTTAAAAATATAAAATTTTAATTATTTTATTGAATTGACATATATTAATCATTAAATTTAATATTTAATCATATTTAAGTAATGAAACATTACTTCTATGATGATGAGTTAAGCGATGACTTGAGATTGCATATTGATTAAATGATCTTCCCGAGCCGCCTTTCATTTTTCAGCTCAGGATGCTGCTTTGTCCTAACTTTTGCCTAGGCTACCCTTTTTGTTTGTGGGTCTCCTAGCAGACCTTTTCTTCTTCTTCTTCTTTTTTTGGATCCTCACTTTTGCCTAGGCTACCCTTTTTGTTTGTGGGTCTCGTAGCAGACCTTGCCCTAATCTTTGCGTTGCCGTCTTAATGAGTTTCTTGCGGGGCTTTTGTCTTTGCAGTATTTGTGATCATCTTTCATTCCTTCATTAAAGGGGGATGCCCCTTCACTGATTTTGTTTGGACTTTTATCCATAAGTCATGCTGAATTCGATTGATCTTTATGTGTTTATTTATTAAGCCATTATTTCTAATGATGTCCTTATTTTAAATGTACTTGTTCATTTAAGGTTTGTTGACGAGGCTTAGAGTAGATAAAAGGGAGAAGATAAATGAAGTAGAAAAGTTTATGGCATTAAAATAGAATTTTTAATTTACACATGCCCATTTAATGTAGCTCGAGGGCCCAGGCATGCCCGAGTTCATGATTCATACACAGAGAAGTAGAGGGAGGTTTCCCCTTAGAGAGGCCTAGGTTGTCTGACTGTAGGGCTAGTCCTACACTTGCTTGGATGTGGCACTTCAAAAGATCTCGTGCAGAGGGAGGTCCTTTGGCGTCTTCTCTCATGAAGGTGTTGTCAACCCATATCCTGATACTTTCCTAAGAAGTAGGAATGGGTAAAAGCGATGATAGAGCTTTCCATGGAGTCTTGCTTCTCAAGAGGAACATTCAAGCTGTCTCTCGATTTTCAACTTGAACAAACATTGCTCTTTTTTCTTTTCATTTTTTTTGCCTAGAATGCCCTTTGCGGGTTTTCATTCTAGTAGCTTCTTAACAAGTAACGTTTCTCTCCTGTTGAAATCATCTTTCAAGAAAGCTTATTCACTTTGCCTTAGTGTTTGAGGGATTCGTCCTCCTCAAGTTCTCTTTATTAGCTTGCAACTCGTTAGGAGTGTGGATCCATCCATTCCTAGTCGTTTCTCCTATTCTGCTTGGATTTCACGGTTGCACGACATGGCTTTATCCTCTTGGGGCAAGAGTTGGCGTCTTAATGATTGTGGAGTTCTTTACCCTAAACTCTTTATGCATGGCTTACTTTCCATTATTACCGACTAATGCACATAGGTTATTTTTCCTTTTTTATTCTTCATTTATTCTTTTACAAGGAAGGATATGTTCTAAATGAATGTAATGCAAAATGTAGAGAAAGTTGAGAATGATAAATATCAGTCTCATTAATTTGTTTATCTGTGAATGCTCAAATAGATTTTGACAGTATTAAGCGAGAATCTATATTAGATTCTAAGAAGACTTATTTAACAAACATATCAAAGCAAGGGCCCAGCCATAGTATTTTTTAAAAATTGATTTGGGTTTTTCTCTAGAGCGTAGATATTGTCGTATACTAGAGCATTCACCTTTCTTAACTTTCTATACGTACTACAATCTAATCCTCCTTAGCTAATAAAAAATAAATGAAATTAATGAGCTAATCTAGAATGCATTTCATTTTTTTTTTGCCTAAGTGGACACTCAACTGATGAATGTGCGGCCCTTAAAGATAAGATTGAAGACTTGATTAAGCAAGGAAAATTGCATAATTTTGTGGACCGCTCAGGTTCATCCCAGACTCGCTCATATCAACCCAGATATCAATATCGGCACAGGCAAGATCGTTCTGATAAAACCTCCGATAGAGCTCGGCGTGAAAGAAGCAGGTCGCGCGAAAGAAAAGATGACTCGGCACCTTCACATAGGAGGGTTATTAATACTATTGCTGGTGGATTTGCGGGTGGAGGCACCACTTCTTCAGCCCAAAAGAGACATCTCCGAGCTATCCGATCGGTCAATACTGTTCATAGACAGTCTTCTCGGTGGTTGCCAACAATAACCTTCACTGATGCTGACTTCAAAGGCATTGATCCGGAGCAAGACGATCCGATGGTTATCAGTGTAGAAATCCACAATTGCATCGTCAAGAAAACATTGATCGACCAGGGCAGTTCGGCAGATATTATATATTGGAACACATTCAAGCAGTTGGGCATTTCTGAAAAAGAATTGCTTCCCTATGACGATCCGTTGGTTGGTTTTGCAGGGGAGAGGGTCAGTACCAGGGGTTACATTAAACTCTTCACACGCTTTTGTTTTGACGAACAAGAAAGCAGAGAAGTTCAAGTAAAATATATTGTGGTGGATGCTAGCACTTCATATAATATCCTCCTCGGCAGACCGTCTTTGAATGCATTGGGGGCTATCGTCTCAACACCACATTTGGCGATGAAGTTTCCATCCGACAAAGGGAAAATAATCACAATTCACGCCGATCAAAAGGCTGCTAGAGAATGCTATTATGCTAGTTTGCGAGTTTTACCGTTTGAAGAAAGAAAATCTAAATCAAACAGAATACATGTTGTGAACGCTTCGGCACTTCTAGAGGAGGCTGTGTGGGATCTTGATCCAAGAATGAATAATGAAGAGCGTGTGGAGCCGATTGAGTCAAAAATACATTTTCAGATAGGTTCACGTCCTGAGCAGGTTACATACATCGGTGCCGATATGTCCAAAGACGACCGTTCGGCCCTATGTAAGGTTATAGTGGAGAATAAAGATCTTTTTGCCTGGACACCTTCTGACATGCCGGGTGTAGACCCGAAGGTTATGTGTCATAAGTTATCAATTTGTGCCGAGGCAAGACCGATCGCGCAGCGGAAAAGAAAAATGGGGAACGAAAGAAAACTTGCGGTTGACACGGAGGTTGCCAAGTTGCTTGATGCCGGATTCATTCGGGAGGTCCATTACACCACTTGGTTGGCAAATGTAGTAATGGTAAAAAAGTCAAATGGGAAGTGGAGAATGTGCACTGATTACACAAGTCTCAACAAGGCATGTCCTAAGGATGCTTACCCACTTCCAAACATAGATCGATTAGTTGATGGAGCCTCGGGTCATGGAATGTTGACTTTTCTTGATGCTTACTCGGGATATAACCAAATTCCCATGCATACCCGTGACGAGGAAAAGACGGCCTTCATAACCGATTCGGCCAATTACTGCTATCAGGTAATGCCGTTTGGGTTGAAAAATGCAGGGGCAACGTACCAAAGGTTGATGAACAAAGTTTTTCAACACCAAATAGGCAAGAACATGGAAGTGTACGTGGATGACATGGTCGTAAAATCCAGAAGCATCGATCGGCATGTAACGGACCTTTCGGAAGTATTCCAACAGGTGCGCAAGTATGATATGCGGCTCAATCCGGAGAAGTGCGTATTTGGAGTGTCCGGAGGCAAATTCCTGGGCTTCATGCTTTCGGCGAGAGGTATTGAAGCTAATCCTGACAAGTGTATGGCAATCGTCAACATGATAAGCCCTCAGAACCTTAAACAAGTTCAACAACTAGCAGGTCGGCTTACAGCGTTGTCACGATTTCTCCCGTGTTTGGCCGAAATAACGAAACCCATGGTGGGATTGTTGAGAAAAGCGAAAAAATTTGAATGGTCTGATGAATGTGAAAAGGCCTTTCGGACCCTAAAGGAACGTCTCGGTTCGCCGCCTATACTTTCTAAGCCTGATCCAACGCTACCAATTGTGGTCTATTTATGTGTATCAAATGATACAATAAGTACAGCTCTAATTCAAGAACGGGAGGGACAGCAACCTATTTACTTCATCAGTCGCATGCTACAGGAGGCTGAGACAAGGTACCAGCTCTTGGAAAAAGTGGCACTGGGGCTAGTCCATACCGCTCGGCGCCTCCGGCAATATTTCCAGAGTCACCAAATCGT